TTAAACGTGTTTGTAATGATGTTTGCAAGGGGAGATATGAAAATAATTAAATGAACAATCCTGAGGAAAAATAATTTATTTGCGTTTTAATTTAAAGTGTGTCCTTACTTTTGCGCAATTCTGTACCAAAATGTTTTGACATTAAAATGGCATAACCCAAACCGACCAATCTGCTGCAGCCTTTATCAGTTTTTCATTCGTATTTTTCCTTTTTGAAGATTGCTGTATGGAATTCTGGACACGTGCAGGCGTCGGTTGTTTCAAAGTCTGTCGCCGCCATTGTATGAAACGAATAACTCGTTGGAATGTCTGTGTCATCAGCATTCCTCGTCATATATATCCTTCCCAATGCTGTGTGGTTAGGAGGGGGTGGGGATGCTGTGGAATATTGCATCTAGCTTCTGCTCCGGGTACATGGGTGCAAGGAAACTTTGTTTGTCAGGAAGTTAGGCGGTAACAGCGCACGCGCGTTTGCAAGGGGTTAAAAAGAGGAGGGTGTTTCCGGGTTGTTGTACGAACATGTATAGTCTGACGGATTTACATTTTCCACATTCCGCAGTAATGACCCAGATTTACTATCGTTGAAAGCGTTCATTTCAAAGCCCTTGTTTCTAAAACTGACTGTTCAATTTTTACATGTTTTACTCGTTCAATGTGTAACATCTAACATCCTGTTGTGTACTCTGGCGGCGATAGTCTGTTTTATTAATACGCAACAAGTGAAAGGGCCAAAAGTATATGAAACATATTCTAGATATGAGAATGTTGTCTTCCAGTTCTGGAAACAGGCCATAAATCCGTATATCTGTGCACAGACAACAAGAAATATTTATTTTTTAATTGTGGTCTTCTGGGTTAAGAGGCCATGTCGTCTTGTAGGTGCTTGCCAACTTTCCTTAGAAAAATTCTGTATTCTATTTGAAGGGTTTAAGATGTAGGCAGCAGGTCCTCCAAAACATTGGTAAATACCTACAAGACTATCGAGAAAGTTGTAAATATCTGGTGGGGTTTTAAATGAAGACTACTGTCTTTTGGGAAATTCCTTCGTGTATTCTGGTAGATATTCACCAACATTTCAGATAACCCCACTGCCTTCATGATCCCCATAGTAAAGTTTGTCCCACTATACGCCATGTAGGCGTTTGGGGTGAGTGGAGGTATAGCTCCTCTCTTCCTTGACCTCGACACTAGATGGGGGTGAGTGGTCAGCATCACGCCCCGGCCGGCTTTACCCCCGGGAAAGGACCCCGGTACCCATTGTAGAGGAGGCTGGGTGGGCCCCAGAGCCGGTCTGGACGCAGAGGCTAGAGGAAAAATCCCCAGAAGACAGTCATTTTTATACTCATCGCCATGAGAACATCAAATCTCATCTTATTTTCAAATGTTTCACAAGTGAACGTATATGCTCGTGCGTATTTGCGAGCTTAGTGAAAAATCTGTGTCCAGTAATAGTGTATTCTAGGCGCGAAGTGTTTTATTTTAACGACGAAGTAATATACAAGCATTTTTAGAAGAAAAAAAATATTACACATCTTCTAAGGTGCAATTTGTCCTAAAAGTTGCAAATCTTTATTTACCCATGGGCCCTAGATGGGATAAATTTCATTAGTCATCTGTCAAATTGGCACAGGGTGTGACCACCACGCGTCAGTGGTACTTTAGATTTGACGCATATATACATTAATGTAATTATTTAGGCTCGTATGTGTAATATGGGTAAAAGCTTGAATGTCTTTGTGCGTGTTTATTAATACTTAATGAACGTCTCCTTCTAATGGGGTATGTATGGATTTATTACGGTTTCTCATGACTCAGCTGTAGGTAACTGCTCCATTTCTCTGCAGGTGCTGACGCCTGGGCCTGGGCCTGCAGTCTTATTAGAACTGCATCCCACACCAACGTCACATCTTCCTTCCATGTAAATGGAGACATTTGCATTTGATCAAAATGGAAATGAGGTATTTAGAGATTTGGGAACTTGGGTCTGGCGCTCGACGTCTAAAATTGCAAGTGTGTTGAGACGTCGATCTATACGAACACACGCCGAGCCGCTCTCGCTAACTCATTTCTTCGTGTTCCCAATTTACCGGCCTCCAAATTGAACAGCTTTGATATATATTCATACTGAGTTTTCTTTTTTTTAAACCTGTTGTAAACGCGGTTTTCCCTTAAAGTAGTTTTAGGTGGGGGGGGGGG